TCTGATCAACGAGTTGCCGAACTAAAACAAAAAAACATCAAATTAAAAGAAGAATTACAAATAGAAAGAGAAGAATTTAAGAAGTTTCAGGATAAAAGTGTAGAATACCAGAAAAAGCGGGAAGATAAAATAAAAGCATTAGAAGAACAAGTAGTACAGTTAAAATTTCAAAACCAAGAATCGCAAGCCCAGATTGAAATAGAACCGAAGCAAAAAAATAAGTAAAATAACGCAAAATATGGTAAACAACAACAATACAATACCCACAGAAATAAAAAAACCGTTTGAGATAGTTCAGAAATTAAAAGAAAAACAGGAGACGTCCGACTTTAAAAAATCTGTAGAAAATCATAACAAGGAGCAAAAAAAAGATCAAGAATTAACTAGTTTTTGTAAATTGAATAATGATGACTTTTATTTAATCTTGCAAAATTTAAAAAAAGATCGTTCAACTCTATATAATTGCCTTTTAGTTAATCGTCAATTTTGCCGTTTGACCGTGCCTTTGATTTGGGATGACCCTTTTTTTAGGTTGGGCGATTCGGGACAAGTAAAAATTGTCGATGTTTGATTCTCATGACTAAATGGAGAGGAATCTAATAAATTACCTCCCGAAGTAAAAAACAAAATTGAACCAACCAATGCTTCGCAAAAAAATACCTTATTCCCTTATCCTGATTATTTGAAGTGTTTTGACAATCGACAAGCATTTAAATACGTTAGTAATTGGTGCAAAGAAAAAGGAATAAAAGAAGAAAAATTGCATTTTGAAACTTCACGGGTCATTCAGGGAATACTGCTTTGTTTAGGAAAAAATATCGAAATGTTAGTAGTTTGAAATTGAAAGCAATTATTACCATTTCCCCCTCTAACGTCCGACATGGCTATAAAAAAATGTAGATTTGTAATTCAATTTTTAAATCATGAGTTTGACTACTGAAAAGATATCGCGGATATTTTTAGGCAAGTGTCCAAACAAGTTGAGAAACTTCACCGAGTTGAGATTGATTTTTACGACAATATACCGGCGAGTTACCAAATTTTTTTTCAAAATTTAATAGAAGATCGACCTAAATCAGAACAATTTAGACTAGAAAATGTCGAGTCTGTGCCATTAATGACATCCTCAATTTTATGCCGATTAGAGTTATATAACGTAAGGTTTACTAAAGAAAATCTCCAAAATCTCAGCAATCTACCTAGTTTAAAGATTTTAATAATCAGCAAAACTAGAAAAGAAAAGATTTATCCTCTAAAAAAGTGTTGCTTACCAAGTTTACAGAAATTGGAATTGTTAGAAAATTATACTGGATTGGACGAGTTTTTTCTGGATAACATCCAAGCAGAGGCATTAAAAACTTTGGCTATTTGTAATATTGAACAAATTTTCGAGCCAAACACATTTAGCCAAAAAAGTTTTGACTCAATTTATGACAATTTTCCTAACCTAGTTGAATTCTTCTCTTTCTATTTGTAATTCTTCTTTTAATTTGATGTTTTTTTGTTTTAGTTCGGCAACTCGTTGATCAGA